TCCTACTCCTTCTTCTTCTACTACTATTATTATGACTGCTATTACTAGTACGGCTACCACTACCACTAGTGCTGCTGCTGCTGCTACTACTACTACTACTACTACTACTACTACTGCTACTACTATTGCTACTGCTACTGCTACTGCTGCCGCTACTGCTACTGTTACTGCTACTTCTACTACGACTACGGCTAGAACAACCCGGTTTTGCTCTTTTTTAGCTTTCTTGTTGCAGTCGGTACACCTTCAGCTGTCAAAGCTGCGAGGTCAGAAGGTGCCAAAGGTCGTCGTCCACACGCCTTCCCCCGCAGAGGATGCCGTGCCCACGGTCAGGTTAGATTCCTTTGGGGTTTATGGTTTGGTGGTTCTTATGTTAAACAGCTCTCCTAAACTTACCATTGTAGCCTACATCTGGCACACGACACGGCGAAGAATCAAAACCTCTTCGCCGCTTTCTCGCAAGTCCACAGGAGATTTATGCAGAAACTCTATTGACAATTTTGAACACCCATGTCTTCAGAGAATGTTCTCCCCGAGTCCTAAATCCTGCAGAAAACAACAACACCGAAGCTAATATAGGGGTGGGAGCAATGAATAATAGCATTGTCCTTCCGAGCCAAAGCGCCGGTGCCTCCCGGCTGTGCAGCACACGGTAGATCTTTGTCAGCACACCATCTGGGAAGCTCCCGATCGAAGTCTATGCTTCGGTTCCAACCGACGCATGCGTCGGAAGTGCGGTTGACGCCTGAGATCTCTATGGATCTCAACTCGGCCTCAATCTGCACAACGCGACCCTTGCCCGGAGGCTTCGGGTAGGCAATCCTAAACTGCTTCCACTCCTGATGCGTCCAAGTGCCGCAGTAGTCCCGACTCTCACGCGGGAAGTTGAAGGCCTGTGTCGGTTCTCCCGGTCGGGGAAATCACTGTAGCTAGTGGATCTAGGCCCACTGCCCTTGCTAGTGCCATCTGGTGCCCTTGCCACCAGCGGGGTCTCCACGCCTAGGGCCTAGCAGTGGCGTTCTTAGCGGCACGTCCCTTCTCAGAGGGCGCGGTGGCCCAGGCTCATCCCACTCCTCATCGTCGTCCGCCTCTGCATCGTCTAGATGCTGACATGTGGCTGCAGACCACGAATTTGTCGAACGCTACCGCCCCTGGGCACACCCTCCTCAGCCGGATGCGGCGGTGCAGTGCGGAGGAGGAGGATAGCTCGGAGGCGGAGGCTTGGGGCCTCAGGCGGTGGCCTAGCCTCGGGGACTAAGTCCGATCATCCCTATCACCCCACCAGGACCTAGCGGTCCTACCATGTCCTACTTAGAGCTCCTGCTTTCATCACAGGAGGACCGCTCACGCACTTGTCTGCGGCTATCCATGTGCGGTCGGATGTCATCGCGATCTATGTCGCGAGTTTTTTGTGCGACCGCGGTCTCGGTCGTCCCTGCGATCACGGTCATCTCTGCGATCGCGATCATCGCGGCGACTAGGATCATCCCGGTCTCGGTCTTCCCGTGGGCTGGACGAACTGCGATGCCTCCGAGATCTTGATCTCCGCTGCTGGGGGGGTCTCGTCCAAGAGCCACTCTGCGAGCATCTTCCAGATCGAAATCCTTCTCCCTAAGTCTATGCTTAAGGGCCTGCACCTCACCTTCGGCTTCACGCAAGCGGATGACGAGGCGCTTGTTCTCCTCCACAAGTCCCGCCTCTTTCTCAGCACGAAGCTTACCGACCAACTCTTTGTTGGCGTCCACCGCCGGGGCCTTGGCCACCGGGGCCGTCGGCAGCTCCTCGCAAAATGGCGGCTGCAAAGGCGGGGGCGGTCTGAAGGCCGCTTTCTTTGGAGTCGGCGGGGCCTTGGCAGGCCGCCCCGATGGTGCCAGCGGAAGGCTATCCCTTCCGGCCTTCGGCGTCATGGCCATCTTGGGCGATGGCGTAGCCAATGGCTATGACAGGTATCATGACTATACTGTAACATACCCCAAGCCCCGTCCGTTTTCATTAAATTATGTTCGCGACTCTCCTCAATGGAATCATGTTGATGTTCTGTGGACTGCAGTGTTTTTTCCTTGAGCAGCCCAACATTCAACATCAAATCAGCACACATGTGCTGCGCATCACTCCCGCTGATTTTTATGCAGCCTTCACTGACAAACATTCAATTTTTCGATCCGAAATGACCAGCGGAAACTCGGCTTTGTCATGTTTGCATGCTAAGACCAAACCGCTGTTTTGGGTTGCTCTAGACAATGACTTGAGAGCGAATCTCACCCTGCGTGACATCACTTCCAAAGGTATTTGTCAGCTGCCGCTTGACACGTGGAGTCATGGTACCCGTGAAGAAACGCGGGCTAGACGTGGCCCGCGATCTCCCTTTCAGAGCTGCGTTTTCAGCAAGGAGTAGACTCGACGCACACCTCCACTTGAACTAGTTAACTCTTGGCATTCCGAGTTTGATAGGATGATCAGAATTGTCACAGATGTGATCTCTACAGATGAATTCCAACACGGAGACGGCTTGCAATCACAGGTGAGGCACAAACCCTCTCGTTTCCCAAGCCCAGCAGACTTCTTGTCCGATCATGCACTGAAAAGTATTAGACTGTTAGAACTATCGAGGCTCTCTTGTTTTCAGAGCAGCAGTGCTTTCACTCGGATTCTCGTGACCGAACCGACAAGAACGCATGAAAGCAAACATTAGAAGGACCGTGGGACGACAGCTTTTGTTCGTTCTTGCTTTCCCTGTGATTCGGTCAGGAACGACATTCATGCTTCAAGCTTTGGTGTTGTTATGATACCGATAATGCCTGCAGCATATCATGGAAGCGCGTTTGCTGCTCATGGTTTTTTAGGGTTTCATGGAATGTGTGGGACCTTGGACATATGGGTCTAGTGTTGGCCAGAAGTGCGCGCATTTTGCCAGAGCAGGTGACACGAACCCAAGGTGTTGCGTTGTTTCTCCTCTTTGTTTGCAGGTGCTGTACTTATTCCACGATGCTGTGGACATGCACATGTTATAGACCGACTGTCACACAAATTCAATTTTGCCCGCAACGCCGATGCTTCCCCTGCCAGGACAAAGACAACCGATGGGGAGGCCGATGTCCCCAAACCCCAAACCCACGAAAGCCCCCCGGACATCCCCAGATCTTGTTGTGGACGCACTTTGCAAACATATGTATGCATGTACGTGTGTATGTATGTATGTATGTATGTATGTATGTATGTATGTACGTATGTATGTATGCATGCATGCGTTGTCTTGTCGTGTCTTGTCTTGTCTTGCGTTGTATTGTATTGTATTGTATTGTATTGTATTGTGTTGTATTGTGTGCATGGATGCATGGATGTATGGATGCATGGATGCATGGATGCATGGATGCATGGATGCATGGATGCATGGATGCATGGATGTATGGATGTATGGATGTATGTATGTCTGTGTGTGTGTGTGCGTGTAGGCATGTACACGCCGTGCTGCATGCGGCCAGGCAACCTCATGTCGGCATATCGCCGGCGAGCGCTGCTTGCCATGGAGGCTTCACAAGACGGAATGTTGCTAGTGCTGCACTGTTGTGCGTAGCCATGCATGGTGTATGACATGATGCAGCTGCTGATGCCCAACACAGTGGGTCTTGCCGTGATGGTAGCACTGATGTGGCCGGTGAAACGCCGGAGCCTGAACAAATGTAGTCGAAGTGGCATCGTTTGGGTTGTGCTCAACTTAGCGCTCTTTGCGGGTTGAAGCAAGCCACAAGCACAACATAATTTCAACATTGCCTTGAAGCCTACTAACATCTACCGCCGTCACCTTCCCACTGAAAGGCGCGTGAGATGGGGGCCGAGCCTCCTCTGCCGGCGATGCCGGAACCGGTAGAGTCGGTAGAGGAGGAAACGGTGCTGCCCCGCCGCCGCGGCCGCCCCTCCATCGTGGAGAGTTTCAAGCAGCGACGGCGCGCGGCACAGGAATGGCCAATAAACTGCCAGCGAGGCTGAGCTTGCGATATCCAGGGCGGTTTAGGGCATGATCATATGTTAGGCTGGAGTATATTGGCAGCGTGAAGCAGTCTGCTACCGCATGCCGTAGGGTCTCATCGTACGCCATCTTGTTTCTCAGCATGGTCGTGAGATGCCCCGAATGCTGTCATGTCGTACCGTCGTACCTGAGCCTGTAATTGTCGGAAGTTTTCAGTCCGAGCCTGATGTTTTTGAAATGCTCATGGGTATCATATTTAAAACAGTGGAGATGAACCCTAAGCCCTTAACCCTGAACCTACAGAGACTGAACTTCCGAAGCCGCGATAGACGGCCCGCGAGCCCGAGCCCGTTCCTGATGTTTCACTCAATGCCCCGATACCCGGGTACTCGGTGTGTGGAGGTGGCGACGTTTCGCACTTAGAACCCTGAGCTTGAGAAAACTTTCCCTAAGCCCAAAGTTGTTGGCTTTGCTCCCAACCCAGTGCCCGGTTGGAGTTCGATTTTTCGCGCTGCAGGGCCTGATGAACTTGTTCAGCCACATAGACCGTCCACTGCCAGCCTCTCCGTCACTGTGCAGCCGACGAAAAGAAGCTCACCTGAGCTCCAGGCCCAGCTCGATAGCCAGAGTAGCAGCTAGAGTGACATTTGAAGGGTCACTTTCTCCATCCGGCCTGCGCAGCTTCCGATGTTCAAAAAAATGCCAAATGCCATCCCCGGGTACTCGGTGTGCGGACCGGTCGACGCCAGCGACACTCCACCTCACAAAGCCCCAGGCTTGAAACTGAGTTCCGTGTGCTAGACCTTAAAACCCTAAACCCTGTTGGTTGGCCTGCAGCCGAAAGCAATGATTTCGGCGTGTTCTGGGAAGTAGGTTTGAAGTAGTGTATCGGGATGTCGTTCTATGTTCCTCGTTTCAGAGTCTGCATAGCATGTCCAAGCACCCAGAACTGACCTACACTGTCAGAAGGTTCATCATTTTGTACAACCGACAAGAAGAAAGCGAAACCCGCACTGCACCACTAAGCCCCTGTCAGAGAGGCGTTGCGGTAAACAGA